CCAGTGAAAATGCCATTTCCTCATACTCTATGAGACTTGACACAGCACAGTGAAAATTGATTCACACCGTATGCTTGAAAACTTTTCATCGAAAATAAATTAAGTGAAATTCTGTGTGATTTCATGAGAGTTGAAAATGAAAAAATTATATGACACCCAACCCTACCACTCCATACACAATGTAACCACACCTCAAAAACATCCTTTCACCAGTGTATTCTATTTGAATTCGGGAGAAATTATATGACAACGAACTTAATTATAATTTCAACCTCTAGTTCAGCACTGATTAAATAAACTACCTCGTCTTTATGCCAACTTGAAGTTATTCAATGCCTACACCAGTGACTTCAAAATCTATGTTTCAATTCCAGGAATTTCACTTGCTATTAATTGTATGGGAGTGCCAGTCTTTTATTTTCTATTGTAATGTCAATTTCTTGTGATTACTCGGAAAATGAAGCTGTAACCACAGACCACAGTGCTGCAACTAAATCCTGGTATAAGCACCGGTTAGGCAGTCTTGAACTATGCATGTGAAGCCAGCTGAGAGGTATATCCAATCCTATAGATTTCTCATTGTTTGGTAACTATTTGCTGCAAATGCAACAAAAATCAATATAAAAATATTACCCACACAGCATTCTACAGGTTACTTGTTTAGAATATATTTTCGTTACCAATAAAATAAAAATCTCTCAGTCAATCAGAAACCCGGATTCATGCCTTCGAGGAAGGTCCCGTTTGAACGCTCACATCGGTTTTTTTTTTCGTTTGGGGGAAAACTAAAACTGGTCGCAATTTTCGAATAAGAATGAGTCGGCAATTTTTAGTGGAGTCGAAAATTTGGAGGTAAATAAAACACCGAAACCCGGCAAATAAATAGGCGGGCGAATTTTTAGAGGGGTCGAAATTTTGGAGTTTTCACGGTACTAATTATTCCATTTCAATGAAACTTAGTACAAAGATGCTCTAGGACAATGTACAAACCTAATTAGTTTGGGGTAAAAATCTGTTCATATTAATTCCCTAATAAGCATAATAATTCATAATTTTTTGGTTCTAATCACATTTCAATTAAACTTGGAGACATAGATTTTCTGTTACATTGCGCAGACCTCATTAGTTTTACACTCAAATCTGGTCATATTAATTTTCTGATTTGCATAATTAGTTTTCAGCTAAGTAATTTC